TACGGGTAGGTTTTTTCTCGGAAAACCATTTTATCGATAAATGTAATGCTCCGATTAATTAACACTATTTCTTAAAAAATATCCAGGATTCCAACCCGGCGATGTGGTGCGATAATACGTGTTCTAGTTCGGTTTTTATACAACTTGTTTTTTTTTATAAAAAAAAAAAAAAACTTACTACGAATGACAAATGACGGCATATCGGTTTTAAATTTTATTCGTGTTGGTTCCCTAGTTCCTTGGACCGGTACAAGGCGAACATCTACAATTTTTAAACTTTTATCAAATTATATTATCGTTAAATTATTATAACCTCTTGTATTCATCGTCATCGTGTGTCGTATATTACGCGTACAACGGAGTAAAAAATCGTTACGACGATGACTTCATCTCCGCGCATTATTCGAGATTTTTATTTTATTTTTTTTTTTTTATTTAGATATATCCCGTCGACGGAATAAACGAATTTTAGTGGCTTAACAGTCTCTCCGCCGACGTCGTCTGATGCGTTCAATTGAACGACAAAAGCCCGTACATAACGTCATGTCCGAGGCTCTTTTTATTAAACGTGACACGCACACGCATAATAACAATGCAATATACCTACATTGCTTTTTCGTCTACGATTTTAGATACATGTACGACGGTGGTTTTTAATTCAATTTAAGTCTATACGTCATCGCGTAATACTCACTTCGAGGTTTACCGTCTCTAATTCTATGCGTCTGTCATGTGGAAATTCGGAAATCCGGAGTACTGCTGCTCGTGGGTATTTTTCCCTGCAACCCTACCACGAATAGTACAACAACGATACCGTTTTGTTCTTTTCGACAAAGCGGATATAACTACCGCAAACGGAAATCGGAATTAAATACGAATCGGCAGAATGCAATTTTCGAATGAACCGAAACGTAGTCAACTTTCGTCTATAGTAAAATTCCACGACTAAAAATCTCGCCTCCGAGATTATCCGAGCTGGAACATCTCTCTGCGAAATCGATATCGGTTCAGCGGTTTGACCGTACACACATTCGCATTTGTGTGATAATATAAACATGTTATCGGACCCCTATTTTCGTTTCGTATCTACTCATACGAATCGTACGTATAATCCGAAAATGTGATTGTCTGTTAGACGTGTGTTAAACTCTTAACACACGGAAAGTCGCGAAACGGGTTTTTTTTTTTTTTTTAATTTTTCAATGTTAATAGCCATGTTGAATTTAACAAAAAAAAAAATCGTGTTTTTTCAGTATTGATAATAGTACGAGTATATATAAATATATCATTATTGTTCATGGTACATATTTCGATTACTGCGTATATTTTTAGTATGATAACATGTGTTTTAAATATGCTAGTGTTATTTACACGTTGTAATCTAAGAACGTTGTACGAATTTACGGTTGAGAAATCATACCGAAAAATTTGTAAACGACTTGCATTTTCATATTATATTAAATCGATTATTAAAAATAATTAAATAAGATAAAAATAATTAATAAATATATATTTTTGGTAAATTATTATTATTTTAGGTTCTGAGAGTGTTTTATAATTATTATATTTTTTTTTATACGTTTTATTATAACCATCGTAATTATTATACCGAATGGTAATAAAATTTCAAAATTTGTTTTATAAAAAAAAAAAAATGTATTCAAGTTGAAACCCTATGCGAGTTATTTTTGTCAACAAATTAATTTTAGAAACGGTTTTTTTTTTTTTATTAGTCGAATTAATTTAGTTCCTCTATCGCTTTTGAAATAATATCGCACGAGCATAATTATATTTACCTACCTATCGAATGCACTGAATTCATATAGCAGGAACAAAGTCAAAAGGAATGTAATTAAAAGTGCGAGCAGTGATCGACTTTGATGGGTTTTTGTTGGCAATTTTCAAAGTAATTAATCTAATAATTATAACTATAATATGAACTGATTTTAAAGGTATAAACTTTTTCAAGGAACATTAATTATTATATTATTATACAATTTGGATATTGGTTTCTTTGTAATGTTCTTTTCCAATGTTTAAAATGAGAGGTAAGATCCAGAAAAAAAATTATATGTAATAATATTGTTTAGCCTCCGCAAGACCGTATCTTGATCAAATTTTGGGGAGGAATTAAATCAACAATTGTTTTCGTTATAAACATCACTTTGTTTATAACGATTAGCGATTGGTACTCGGACTTATAAGTTATAGCACTTAAAACCCATAAGAAAAATAACTTAAAAACCTCAAAGGGGTTCCAAAAAAGCACTTAGAAATAAATAAAAAAGCTAAAATGGTAAAAGAGTTTAGAAATTCCAACCCTCTTTTATCTTCCTCTATAACGATTTTAAATTATTAAACACAATTTTCTAACACTTCACAGTATTTTCGAAATCTTCTTGTAATTTGCTATCAGGTTTTCAATGTTTGTTCAATTAAATTTTTTTTCAACCAAAACGTTATAACGTTTTGGTTACATTGTGCTATGGCACAATGTACTGATTTATTTACTAAACTTCAAGGGCACGGCCAAAAATTAGACAATTGATTTAAAATGTTGCATGACTCATATTTTTTAGGGAAGTTCTTCTAAGCTAATACTAGGGACGGGCGCGGTCACTGTTGTAAGTGGGAAGTTGGGAAAGTAGAATATAGACGGTAAATGAATGTATACATCTGTAATCAACAATTAACCATTGTTAACGAAAAAAACGAAATTGAGCAGAGTTCGGTTGATATTGGATTCTTTGTCAACAATATAGTATATATCATATTATGGTAAAATAACTACATACGCATTAAACATTGTTGAATATTGTACCTATATTTCCGTTTTTCCAGCGGTTTTTTTCCATGTTTTTCTGGGGTTTCGTATTTATTGGGAAATTTTCTGGCAAAATCAAAAAAACGACATCCTTATAGCACCACCTCAGTCGGATTTATTTTCAGAAAAAGTGCTATCATAGTAAATCGGAGCAAAATCGCCGGTAGAAAAGTTGTCCACAGAAAAAAAAAAAAANTTGTACAACCAATTCCTCGCTTCACTCAGAATTTACAATGATAATACACACCGTAGCGTAAAACCGATAGACATCCCTCTGTCCGCTCAGAATCTTAAATCGAGAAACGACCGTTACTATATATCAAAAACCGTGCGGTTCTTTTCGCTGCCGCCGCTTCCCACGCTGTCCGCCCGCCCCCACCCCCCCTCGCTTCCGCTACCGACTGCGCGTATTCCGTTCACACGCGCCCGGAACATATTTTATCCGGATCATGCGTGATCATAAGCATTAAGCATTTTGTTATTATTCGCGGCGCATTCTCGTATTTATCGTTTAACATTCTCTTGTTATAATTGAATGTTCGTCGTTGATACTATGCAACTCAATATATGATATAATAAAACACTTAGGTGTATCGGCGATTAATATACAGGGTGATTTTTTTCTATTACGAACCAGCAACCTATCTCGTAGGATTTTAATAGAATTAACATTTTTTTTTTTTATTCATTATGAAATCGGTTAAGCTTTATTTTAAAACCGTTTCGAATTTTGTACCCCTACTCCGTGTATCTTAAATAAGTATATATTTTTGTTTTTCAAAGAGGAACCCCTTCTTTTCGAACACAGATTTAAGTAGAGAATATTATTCTAGAAACTTCGATAGGCAAAACATTAATATCAGATGATTTACAGTTTATGTGTCACAACCGTTTAAAGTTTAGACTGGAAGAATAGCCGAATAGAGTGCAATCATGCAATTTATTATCCTTCAATACTCTTCCAGTCTAAACTTTACATGGTTTAAAAAAAATCAAGTTCGCCAATAGTGTGGAATCCAGTAGCACAAATAAAACGTTTTTTTAAAAAGAAAATTATATTACATTTAGTTAAAATTAAGGACGAAAATGATCGATAGTTTCTGGACAATTTTCAGAAATTTGGAAAAAAAATTACCCATCAGAAAAATACTTTCAATACAAACAAGATTGTTGCGGAAGTATGCACAATTACTTCATACTTTATATTTACAATATACAATATACTTCTACAATTGTTTACAATTTTCCGGAAATAATATTGACAAATTTTTAAAATATGGATATTACGTAAAAAAAAATTTACGTCCTGCTAATTCTAGATTTTTGCGGGAACCCGCTTTTCCTCTCGAGTTTTCCCTAAAATTTCATTTTTAGTTACAATTCAAACAATAACTGGGTTTTTTATTACATCACTTACAATACCTTACTTTATACTCTTTTTATTAGTATATATATTAAGAAAATAAAGAATTCAAACCAAATTGCATAACCTCATGAGACGTAACTTGAACACGGCTCGGGCCATCAGTAGTCACGCCTTTATTGTATTTTTAATTTATGTACATTTTGGTTTAATGTTTTAAGTTCTTTATTTCGATTTAACTATTTGAATAAAATAAAATAAAATGCTATAGGTAAGTTAATCAATTGGGGAAGAGTGGTTTATATCTGTCTGGTGCAATGTACCCCAATGCACTTTATTTATTAATCTATTTTAGATTCTGAGTGAAATGAAGAAGCTTATGGTTTTACAAAGAAAATTAATTTTTTTTTATCGCAACTTTTCTGCCAGAAAACTTGCTCAGATTTTACATGTAGCACCTTTTTTCCTTAAAATGAATCGGCGAGAAGAGATACTTTAATGAGATCATTTTTCGATTTTCTCAAGAGTTTTCTCATTAAATGCGAAAAACAAAACAAAACGGGAAAATTTATGAAATATAATAAATATAATCTTTTTTATTATATTTAGACTCTGTAATAAAAAAAAAATTAAACATGAATACTGATACTTCTATAAAAAAACACTTATGATTTTATTGATAAAATTAATATTATGCCAGGTTAAAAAATGACTTTTCTCTACTTTAAAAATGTATGTATATATTTTTAGCATTTTTGGGTAAACACTGTCAAAATCCGCCGCTTGATTTATCTTAATCTTCTTTAGCGCTTCTCAAATCTCCAACTGGCTGAAGGGTGTACTGTACTCCTCGTTTACTTCCAGTATCTGTATTTTCTTTCTCAATTTCCATTTAACCTCTCTTGTATGTGATTTATCCATTTCGATCTTTCCTACTCTCACAAGTCTAGATGCCACATCATTAAGCGTTACCATTCCGGGCATTGTATTTCTCACATCATTTGACCCCAAGTTTTTTAGTAACGCCCACGTTTTCCGACTGGAACGAATGAAATTTAGGTTTTCCGTTGTTTCTTGCCATCGTTTCTTTTTGTTGTCAATAGGTGCTCTAATTAAGTCATCCGCATTACCACTGTGTTTCTTCGTATTCGTCAGAGTTTCTTACATGCCATATCCCATCCTAATATGTACGATTCTCTGTAGTCTCTTGGTAACACATGCTTTGCTTCTGTCTTCTTTATTGCTTTACAAAATCGATCATAATTACAGGAAATCGGTGGTATCCATTTAACTATTCTATCCAAGTCCTTGGTATATTCATCTTACTTTGCTAATTTAAAATTCCATAGGAGTTTAGGTATGTACTTAATTATTGGGTTCTGGAAACCATAGTTTATTAAAGCAGGTCTGTGTTGACGGTATGTAATGATTTCCGATACTGTTCTGGTTGCAGATGTTGCTGTCAGTCATCTATTTTCTTGTTAGATACAAAGATCCGGAGAGTAGACCTTTTTTCATCTGACTGAAAGAAATATCCCAATTTTTTTTAACGTTGTATTTAAGTTCCATGCTATTTAGAGTGATCCAATTCATAATGGTGTCCCTGCTGCTATCATTTAGGTAATATTCCCACATTGGGCTGTGTCTGTTGAAGTCGCCTACTAAACGGCCGAGTGCTCGAATATTTTGATAAGAGAGTTTCTCCATGCTACAATAGGTGGATTTTAAGTATTTATAACGGTTGTTTCACATACTGTTATCGCTAAAACTTCGATCCGCCCACTGCATTCGCTGACTAGCATCCTTACACTGTCAATGTTGTCTCTCACAAATTTCGCTACACTATACCGCTTATAGTGTATAAGTGCATAACCGGCTATGCATAACCTTCTCTGCATAGACCAGCGTTATCAACTGTATGTGTTTCTTGTACAGCAATTACATCAATAGCATTTTGTCTGCAGATTCTTTCTTTTAGCATTTTATATTCCTTCGATATTTATGTGGCAAATTCTAAGGACTACCCCTACACTTAGCGTCATTAGGTCCTGATAAGGACCTTTTTGCATGTTACAGTGTAGGCTGGAAAATAAGCGCTTTGGTGGTAGTATTAATTGTATAAAAAGAGAACTTCTTGTCTTTAATCCGTCTTTTCCGGTTTCTTAGCGCATGCATGGAGGGCCACGAACAAGTTACCAACAACCATTTTTGTTTTTCATTAACTTATTTTATTTACGAATATTAATAATTTTAATAAATTTGTTTTTACTTTATTATTTTATTAAAAATATATATTTTTATTGATCTTTTCGAACTTTCGTTTTTTTTTCTACGGAAGTTCTAATGAACTATACGAACGAAGCCCCATTCGAATCGTTTTTTTAAAAAATTTACTTTTTAAATACTAAACAAATATAATACAAATTAATCGATACACGCATTTAACGATAAAAACCCTGACCTACATGACAAAGAAGAAAACTTAATACTTTAATATTGTGTGCTTTTCGTGATTTAATAATTAATCATAAATATTTATGTGCAGTATAATATCAAAGTTAATCAGTAAAACAAATAATGTTCTTGTATAGTCAAACCGTTATTTGCACTTATTATTGGCCTACTATGTCCGTATGCACGTATGAAAATTATGTATAAATAATTATTGTAGAAAACAGCATTGAAAATACAATTATAAGAAAACGAGAACCATTGCAACTTGAAAACTTTAATAAACTTAACTAAATCAGAGTGAAAACATTAATTTTAATAATTCGTTCGAGTATTTTGAAATTCTATATGCATGCGTATATTATATTATGTTTTGAAACATAATTGGATAATTTTGAAAACAAAGGGTTTATTACGTGATATTTGGTCATTTCTGGTTTATACATTAATTCATTGTGCAATTACAATTTGCGTTGAATGGTAGCACTGTTATTAAGAAATATATTTAGATTTGTTAATAAGATATTGGGAAGAACGTGTAATATAATAACGTGGCAGGGCCAGAAGCAAGTCAATTTTAGCACATATACAGAAAATAAGCCACTTGTAGCATTTATAATTCAGATTTGCCTTAATTTAAATTATTTGATTTCACTCGTTGTTAACTGCATAGCTCTGTCGAATAATTTATCATCAATTATTGGACAATTGGCCGAGAGGTCAATTCGGTATTCTGAAAACAATTTCTAAAATTATTTATAACCGAATGACAATAAAAAAACAAAATCGGAAATTTATAGAACCTGAAATGTTTTTTTTTTTTTCAATATTATATTATAGTAATACAATAATTAAAAATATGTCAAACATGCGAAATTGTACGTGTCTGTTTCTTTTTAAATTTAACATATAAAAATAATACGTAAATCCCGCATACAGATTCCCGAATCTGTAGTAATCTCTTAGTAATATTATTAATACGACTAGCTCTGCACGACGAAACCGCATTTTACCACAAATTGCGCGTGAAAAACGACAAGGGTGGCTGAAACTTAAACTTGACGATCGTATAACACGCGGCTAAGCTATTGTCTATTTAAGTGCGTCGAGAAGAGATCATTGTTATTATGTACATGCGTACAGCGACACCTTTTGTAACGTTCGGTCGGCACCTGTTGGTCGTGAGATTCGCGTGTTTCATGTTTTATTCGGGGAATCAGGATCGTGAAATTAAGCCAGATAACCAGAGAGCAAACAGTACGTGGAGTCGAGAGAGAACGAGCCGAAAAATATATTTGGCAGCAAGACTTATACGGCCGAGTGTTGAATAAGTTATAATGTATCGCAGAAAAAAAAAACAAACGGACACACAGGTCGTTTTAGTTACATGCCAGTGGAATTTTGTTAATGTGCGTAGGAAAACGGTTAGGAAAGATTGGATTTAATATTGGGGTAGCCTGCCTCATATTTGGACATAGTTAAACCACAATGGGAAAAGTAAGAATTTCGTCAATAAGAATTTTGAGTTTGACATTAAGTTTGTAATTTAGAGAGGATAAAATAAATATAGCCTAGTATTTAATTGTTTTCTATTTTCGGTGATGTGGTCTTCCCAAGTTTTAAAGAATAGCGTCGCGTAACATGTTACGACTTGTAAGACTCACAATAATAGAAAATACATTTTTTATAATCAAATAAATTGATAGTACGTTTGCTATGGTTGTTAGATTTTAAGTCAAAAATTGAGAAACAGTTTGTGCTTTTGAGTACTCCTAATCCTTTTCAGTTTTCTATTGTAAAATGTGTTGATGCGCAAACAATATAACGATATTTTGGTGTAAGGTAAACACGGTAGGTTCGCAAATGATAACCTAAAAATTTAACGCTGCGCAAATATCGTACAATAAAAAGGCCAAAAAAAAAAAAAACAATAGTGATGCGCAAACGATACACGCCGCTTTGTTTTTATTAATAAATCATTTGTGAATCATTATTTTCTACAGAATATAAGTACGTAATATATAATAATTGACAACAACAGTATACGTATTACGTATTACAGTATTACGGATAATAGGACATTTTATATATTCTGTGGGGATAAATTAAATATAATCAGTAACAAAGGTCATTACGTAATAATACTTACGGCTGGTTATTTTTAGATTGTGAGTGGAGCGAAGAAATTTATGGTTTTACAAAGATGAATATTTTTAATTTTTTTTTTTTTTGTGTGAACAACTTTTCCAACAGAGATCTTGCTGCGATATTTAAGTGTAGTACCTTTTTCTGAAATTAAACCTGACTGGGAAGGTACTTTAAAGAGGTCATTTTTCGATTTTCTTTGGCGTTTTTTCATCAAATTTGAAAAACCAAAAAAAAAAAACTGATGTAAAACGGGAAAAGTGTACAAAATATATCTGTTCTTGTGCTATTCGTGTGGTTCATTTTTACGCAGTGAGCATGAGCATCAGTATTCAGGGCAACCTCATGGTTGTCATTTAACACTGTTAAAACTATGCTGTTTTTTATTTAATATAATATGCGCAAAAACGATAATAAAGAATAATACATCGAGTTACAATTAACTCGAATGACAATTATAGTTATTCGTTAATCATCGTATAGAATATTTATTCAAAGAACACAATTACTAAAGTAAGTACTAGAATAATGCATTTTATGGCACTAGGTATTTTTCTAAAATGTATAAAACCAATCGGTCATTATTTTTAACCAATCACAGAGATGTACATTTCGATCCCGAACGAGTTGTTGATGTCTCGGCTCAAAAATCAAGGAAAAAAAAAGCTCATTTTATAAACGTATCAATAATATTGACGTGAAAACGATTTAATTATTATGAATAGTTAATATAGTGTCGTATGTACGTTGTACACTTTACCAGTGACAATAACCTTCTGGCTACTTATATTAATAATGTTTTTTATTTTTTATTTGGTAGCGCATACCGTAGTAGTAATGATATGTGGTATTGAAATATAATCTATATTCTACAGGTTATTCTGGGGGTACGAGGGGCATAGCCTCCACCGTTCGTTTTTGCAAATAATTTTGAAGTGTCTCGCCCCCGCTGTACAATATCCAATGTTCCAATATCTACAACAAAACGATGTGACAAATTTTATCGACGGAACAAATGCAGCGAAAATAATATAAATTATATACTGAACACATCGTCGCGTTTCGTTATGTTATGCGGCCGTCAAACCGAAGGCCTAACAACAACTGTTACCATCAAACACACACACCCACACACAGACTTACTCATAGTTTGGATATTTTGTTTGTAAACGGGGGAAAAAAAAAAACTATAAATATTATTAACTATATAACAAGACAGACACATGGCTTCGTCGTAACACGTATTATATTATTGTATTCAGTTTGTATGCCATAATTATTATCGTACCTATTATTATTATATTACAACACTGCTGCATTAAATTTTTTTTAATCGTACAGCTAAAAACGTATTTATACTATTGGTTCCTTTAGCGTTTGTTTACAAGAACATTTTATTTTATTTTTTACTACACATGGGATTTCGAAATGCATACTACATTTTGTACTGCACACCGTGTATAGGTACGCTCTAAAACCACGTTTCTCAACCTTCGAATAGCGAACAATTTCTATTGGGTCGTCCGAACGTTTTAAAAGTTCATTTTGGCCAATCAGAAATCACAGTTTATCCACACAATTCAAACCGGCCAATAAAAAGAAAAACGCCGGAACTATACAGGTTTTGTAAATCGTTGTTCGTTTATGATTTCAATACACGTTTATTGAATTGATGATAATTCGTTGTGTAATTGGTTTGAAAAGTATTCAAGTATTCAGTTTGAAGGTATTATTTCATACACGAGATTACTATAGCTGTTCTGTTCGGTGACGTTAACCGTGTCAATAGAAATAATATTAATTTTAATACATGATTTTTGTTTTTTTTTTCTTTTTGATTTCATCCGTTTCACTGAAGTGTAATCAATAAATCAACAAATATAATTCATAATTAATCATAAATTTGTTTTTTTTTTTATCTGTGCGCAACTTATCTACCAGACATTTTGCTTTGATTTACCACAGCAATTATTTGACATCATAATGATGATAGCAATGATTATATGATTATAAACGGAAATCCGACTGAGGAGGTACTTAAGAGCGAGCATCTTTCGATTTTCTCAGGAGTTTTCTCATCCAATACATACCGAAGAAGTACCCGAAAAAGC